AAAAATCTATTAATTTTGGATGATTCATAGTTAGTTGGCCAGTAGATTTTGTTCTGTTATCACTTAAAATATTCAGTGTGGTTATTATAAAATATATACACAACAAGGGAAACACAATATTTTCATTTTATCAATTTCGGTTTCATGCACTATTAAATAAATCATCTCAAAATGTTAAACTAAAATCAAACTTATWCTACATAATACATTTTGTAACTTTTTTTAAATACTATAATTTGAGGATAATTACATTATTATAATAATTAGTTAATWAATAAATAAATAAATAAAAAATCCTTAATTTTAACTGTATAATTACAAAAATTCAACCTGGAAATATGGAGAATGGTAGCTTTTAACAACTGATATGTGTGAAACAGAGAAAATTGAATAACTTTCATAAAAGTACTTGTGCTACTTTAGTAAGGATTAGTTTTTGTTAAATATGGTTAGACTCTACTAAGCAATAAACTGGTTTGTCAGTTTCAAAATTAACTATGTAGGTTCTTTCTTAAACAGATATGTTAATAGATTATACATAAAAGTATTTTGATATATAGAATATGAAAGCATTATGCTTGAAAAATATTGCCTACCTCATTTTTAGAACAAATATTGCCATCATATTCTCCACAATGCTTTTTAGACTTAGAAAAAACAGTCATACCACGTAAATGCATTTCTTCTGGTAATATATACTGATTGGTTTCAATGTCTAATTCAATATTAGCTTGAGACAAGTAATTTAAAAGTGTAACAGTATTGTTAAAGAATTCAACTGAAGTTTCAGGATTTATGGAATCTATTTTTGGTTGAATCCAATCAAAATATATCTAAAATATAGTAAATAGTAACAATTATAAAAAAATAAAAAATAAAATAAAAAATAAACAATACCTTTATAGCTTCAATAAATGGTAAGTTTAATAATGGAGATTTTGGATTATTTTTATTTTCACAACCATATGATGATGTACCACTGTCATTTGATCCATCAGATTCTGTATTAAAATTAACAACAATACATTTATTTAGAATTTAGAAAGTAACAATCAATATTCTTAATGCAAACCATTTTTTGACTTGTCATTATTGGGTCTCTTCATATCATATATTAACATCTCTTCTTCACTTTCATCACTTTCATCACATTCATCGTCAGGACTTATTACACTTTCTGCTTCATCTAATTATTATACAGTTTTGTTTAAAAAAAAATTAATACAAATTCATATTATGATCATTTACTATGATATTTTATTATTAACATATTTACAACTATTAAATCTAAAATATATTAATTATTAAATACTAACCTCCACTCCATTCTTGAGAATCTGGAGAATAATTTTGTCTAAAACCACGYCTACGACGTCGGCGGTTTAATTTTACATGATCTATATTAGGATTAACTAACAGCGGCAAGTTTTTTACACAGTAAGTTACACTTTGACCAATTAAATGTTCCATTAATGATAAAAAAAATAATTCCGCTTTTGGGATGCATTTAGATTCTAGAAAAAATTTTATTTATTAGACACTTTAAAAAATTGTAAGGGCTTTAATAGAGGAAAACAATTAATGTTAGGGCTTAAATTTGAATGCAATAACAACATTTATATAAACAAAGTGATTTTTAAAGCATGCTCGCCTCATTTTTATACTTAAATTGTGTATAAATATATACATTAAAGTTTTGATTTTTGGAATTTTTAAATACACTTGAGTACCTGACCATATTATTTTTAAATTTGAGATTTTTTGTACCACTTAAGCGTCTTGTAATGATACAAACTTCTGATACAGAAGTTTTTTTCACTTTTAAATATTCAGCAGGTATTTTTTTTTAAAGAATTTTGATGTTTCTGAATCAAAATTTGAGTGAGTTATATAATTTTGGGTACCAAGGATAACATATTTATAATAATGCGCTAGGTAGATATGAGAGTTTGGATAATGTTAAAATGTTAGTAATTAATGATGATTTATCAATATAAATAATTTTTAAAAACGACCCAAGTATAATAAATTCTACACACCTAAATATGTAATAACATATGATAGAGTTAACATATTTTTGTTAAACCATTTATAAGGATTATTATTCTTAGTACAATCATTATAAAAACTCAGAAACTACGTATTAGAATTTAGATTTAGATACAGTGGCACCCTGACACGTTAGCAAGGAATGCAATTGCATGTGTTCTCGAGGGGGGTGGGTGTGTACTACTGCAGGTTTCACAGGGAAATTAAAAAATTTAAAACATAAACTGTAGTTTATACTTATTTATTTCTTTGAATTACAGTGAATAATAAGCAAAAATATTTGTTATAAATAAAAAATTGGGTGGGTCGGTGGCTAACTTTTTTTAACTGTATGTGCTCTTAAAATACCTCTGTGCGCCACTGTTTAGATACATCAAAATCATCTGATAAATATTTTGGAGTAAAAAAGGTTCTTCGTTTTAAAATAAAAGTTTTTATCACTACAAGTCACTTATTAATAGTAAAAAAATCTGAAAATATGGATTAGAATAATTCTAAAATCGAAATTTTAATAAATGTAATTWTAAGATGTGATACCTGCATGTCTTCTCATTTTACAATATTGTGAAACAAGTCAAATTTTATGTTTAGCAGATCATATTTAGCTCTGATAATTTAAAATATTAAATGAATTGACTTCACAAAATTTAAAGGTGAGATTATTATCTAGCCAATGTTATAGGCATTTTATCATGTTATAATTTTTTTATTTTTTTTTATTTACACAATAATATATACAWTCTGTACAATTATGCACAATTAGCATATTTGATAAGGGTTACATATAATACATGAGTACATGAGTAAGAAGCCACCCACTAATGGCACTTGACTGGAGGTTGTATAAAACTAGCTGTTTATATATACTGATTTTTTATTTTTTATTTTTTTTTGATGTTATAATTTTAAAACTAATTATGAGTATTTTAAAATATACAAACAATTTAGAATTTTAAAATACTCAAACTCAATTTAAAATCAAAATATATAAAAAGCCTATGCCTAGATAATATTACCTAAGAAATTTATTTACTCTAAATTTTAAACTAATGGAGTTAAACACGATCTGCCGAGAATAAAATTTGCWGTAACACACTTGTAAAATGGTGACAACATATTCGGGTATTACTTCTTCAACACATTGACAGCCATGTGACCACTGAGGCTTATAGTCAATCATTACTAACATGTTACATGACTGTCCGCATTGGTTAGGTTATAATTAATTTTTTCAGGGCACTACAATACTAAATTAAGAAGATCACAGTGGCATAGTACAAATTTTTAATATAATTAAAATGTTATATAAAAAAAAATAAATATTTTTGAACACAATAAATTGCGCTACTTAATAAGATATAAATTATAAAATTTAATCARCATTACCTTCTTTATGTAACTTGTTTAAGCATGCTATTATGATAACAACAATCTTGAAAACATTTTCATTAGTAGATAAAAATTGTATAGTATCCTTAACTGAAGGTGTTAAGGTATCATCTTTATTTATTTCATTTTTTTTATCGGCTGTATTAATTTTGTTCTTAAAATCAGCAAAATTTTGTAGTAAGCTTATAATGCTAGAATATATCTGTAAAGGTAATTGTGACATGCTTTATATTGTATGTATTATATGTTATTAGATCAATAAAGTAGGAAGTAAAATTTACTTTATCTAATTCTGGTCCACTATCTTTTTCTCCAGTATACCATAAATAAAAAACAGAAAACATTTTTTCTAAAAATATGTTTCCGACTGCTTCAGACTGTTGTTGTAATGATAATAATAAGTTTTTTTCTCCTCCTTCAAATGGTTCAAAACTAAAAACACTAGAAAATTTCAAAAAACTTATTAAAATTATCATACAAATGTTATTTTTAATTGTTGTTATTTTAATGTTACATTATTAAGAGTTGTCATAAATCAGGACAGTCACTTATTGAATCAAAGTACAAATAACTAAAATACATTTTACTTCTATAGTATTGAGTATATATTTAAGTTGAATTTGATGAAAACCTATATTAAAACTTACTAACATTAAAAATTATCAGTGTAAATACATGTAAACAATTAAAAAAGAAGAAAAATTGGCATAGGCGTGCGCAGGATTTTGTGTCGGGTGCAGCATACATTTTTAACCGGCCCTAATGAACAATAAGCAGCCTACTTATTTCCTTAATAAAAATCGGGGTTCTCCCCCCCGAATTCGCTGCACTGGTTGGATGGTTAATGCGCAATTGTCATTGTTGACTGTTGTTGTTTCTGCAGTGTCTGTAATCTAGTGTACGTCGAATTTCTCCAATATTACCCATTTATTTTTAGAYTTGAATTGATAAAATAATATTATTATTTTTCATTTGAATAACGCTGAACACATTTTATATTTTTAAATTATAAACTCAATAATATGTTTAAAATTATTCGTTCTATATTATATTTATAATATCATTACATATATTTTTTACCAGCCCACTAAATCCAATATAAATTGTCAGATGCAGCGAGAGCAGCATTCGCTGCACCCGTGCGCACGCCTATGAAAATTGGTAGCTGTTGAAAAATTAATTAATAATTAATTATTATCTCATTTAATATTTAACTACATGTATATCAAATATTCCATTCATCTACTGCTATTTTGATTAAGTAAATTTTTAAGTAATTAATCTAGTCTAATCTTTCTTTATCATACATTTTAAAGTTAGAAATCTGTTACAGTTGTTGTTAGTAGCAACATAATAAATTCCATTTTACATTATTTTTGTGTTGATAAACAAAATACATGGTGCTTATTATATTTTAATGTGTGTAATTGGCTGATTTAGGTGATTGTTTTTCAAATATTTATTTATTAGTATAAGCATACGCTAAATTAATATACATTATCACATTGATTTCTGTGTAAGCCAGATTGGTGAGTGTAACATTTTATTATTGTGTGTAGTTAAGGGTTAATTAGTTTTTTTGACCATTCTGGATCCATTTGAGGAAATTATGACAACCCTACAAAGGTTATTATTTATAGGTTACCATCGAACATAATGGTAAACAGCATCTAAATGTTTCTTGTTGGATAATGCTAATCGTCCAATTTGATTATGCGGGAGTCCATTTGCTGGTTTATAATTTAATGCTTGTTTGTAATACCGACAAGCTGTAGAATAATATAAATCTAGTTTGTTTAGTTCATACAGATATCGTGACAAATCTCCCAAACAAATCAAACAGCGGTATACTAATTGTTTCATAGATGCTTCTTCTTTGTTACCTGGAATAAATTAATTTAGAGAGAATAAGTTGAATAGAACTATTAATTTAGATGTCAATTTTTTAAGTTACCAGTATCATTCTTTTTTAACACTGTGATATGATCTTTTTTGACAATATTATCAGTTTCATCGTTAATCAGTAAATAAAAATCGAATAGTTCAGGCTTATTGAATTTAATTTCTGCTTGAAATTTGAATAGTAAATGATAATAACTTCCAATGCCTGACTGAAAATGATTTTCTATTAATGCCAATTCCATGTGACTCCAATCATTATTCTGGAATTAAACAAATTTTTAATAGATATTTTAAGGAAAYTACTGTTAATATTATACAAACTATAATATATCTATGAAATTGACAACAGTACATACATATACAGGGAGTCCTGCAAAGATTTACTCATTGTTGATAACTCCTGTTTTAATAAATATATCATAAATCTGTTTTTTTTTCATTACTCACACAGATAAGGGCTACATGTATTTTTTTTTTGCGAAAAGCTAAAGAAATTATTGTAAATTTTTGAAAAAAATAAAGACACCTATTTTATAGTTTATTTTGCTGAACATTTTGACATATCGACGGTTGAAAAGAAAAAGGGCGTAAGCGACATTTTATCAATTTTACAGGAGAGCCAAAAAAACGAATTTTTCTACTTTTTTAAATTTTGAAGCCGTTTAAAATAATTTCATTGAATTTTCACCTGAACAAAATTTTTAGATATTACTATTCTAAATAAATTTGCATCATACAAAATAGTGATTGTTATTTTTGTTTACCTGAAAAGTTTGGTTTTAACTTTTTTGGTGCTTACGCCAAAAATTTTTTTTGAGTACGGTGCTTAMGCCATTTGACGCTTACGCCTCATTTTTTGTCGCTTATACCCGTTATAAAAAAAAATAGTTGGCACTTATGCCCGTTTATTGGCATTTACGCCTTAATTTGAWAGATGGCGTTTAAGGCTTCAACTATCGATTATTTAATTATCAATCATAACTTTGTCATTAATTATGATATCGATAATCGGGTGGGTACAATCGATGTAGAATTATGTAGTTTACGCATTAATGCAAAAAACCGATTTTCGTTAAAAATGTCGCTTATGCCTTTTTTCCTTTCAACCGTTGATATCAACATTATATTTTAACTAATCAAATGATTTTTAATAATTTGTTTAGTTTATAGATAAAACTGCAAAAAACTGGTTTTTATCTGGGGGTGAGTCCTCTACAGTTAATGGATATATTCCCACAGGACTCTCTGATAATATATTAATAATTTTATTACTTTGCGTAAAATTTTAGCGGTAGAGTAAACATCATAATAAGTTTTACGCCACATGATATCTTCAGCTTTTCGGCCATAACATAATGGATCTGCAAGCATCATTCTTTCACAATAGTTTTTTAATTTTATTCGCTGTGTATCAACAGAAGCGGTAAAAAGATCTTTGCAAGACAAAGATCTCCCACGTTGATCATCCAAAAAATGAGAAACTTCATTTATACTCCTGTAAACATAATTAATAGAGTTTTCATTATACTCGAAAGATACCATATTGATGAATGTATTTAATTTCAAATGAAATTCAATAACACAAATAGATTAATTTGTTGTTTTCATTATATATTAATAACTATATTTAAAATACATAAAATACCTAGCAATTATATTATTATTTTTTTAAAATAACATAGTTACCATAATTAATTATTATTTATAAACAGGATTAAATTGTTGATGATAGAATGGTCAACTAATAAGGATTTCACAAGGGTAAACAATAAATATGATGCATATCATAAAATGCCATGTCCACCAAATACATTGAAAAAGTGTAAAAAAGAGCCCTAAAACTTACTTGTAAAGCTTCTTGACAGATTCGCTGGCTTCCGCAGCAGGCTCAGCTCCTCGACTGTTATTCAATTTTTTCATGGCAACCATTTGCTGCCGCTAGCACAGACAATATTATATAAGAAACTTATTTTTGTATCTGTGTGCCAACAAACTTTGCAGACCTAGGTAGGCACTATGACCAGGTGTTTGTCAATCTTTAGCAACAGCTGGTGCTCATGCGATTCGTTATGTTGACATGACCTAACCATCAACGAGACGGATATGTAGCTTACAGACACAGTTGGTRCAAATTCTAGGGCAAAGGTCACTTTTTCAGTACCATCGTTTGGTACAAATTGGTGAAAATGGTAATGATTCCTGTACTCCGTAAACAACCGAAATCACGAGTCAGCAATTATTCGTACTCCCGTATCCAACAAGTTGTAGTTGTCGTGGCACGGATATAGTCTTGTTTTCATAATAATATGTAACAATTATTGTCACACGCTAAGAAACTAAAGAGAACTGAGAAAGTTGGAATTAATTAATACAAATAAACACTAATGTAATGACGGTGATACACATACACATCAGGAATAACGAAATAAGTAACAAGTAATAACTATGAACTATTAACTAATAAGCTTGTATATTAGTCCAAGTTGTAGTATGACAAATTTTGTTTAGTGTTTACTGTTTACGATAATAACGAAAACCTATGGGCTTTAATGGTATGCTATAAGTATAGTATATAATACCTATGGAACGTCCTGTCTTTAGCCTGCTGCTACTACTGGTGTCTGGTAAGTGGTAGCACAATCAGCATAACCATTACGTTATCAGCAAGGGCCGAGAACCAGTGCAGCCAACGATGTTGCTACAAGATGTAATATAAGATTATGTTAGTATGTTATTCGAGGTTAAAATTATTGTATTGTTGTGCTGTCGACTCACCTGTAGATAACCGGTATTCGAAAAAGGCGCAATTTAACGGTAGGTATCGTGTGCAGGCGTTGTTATTGTTATTTGTTTTCAGTTAAGATTTCACATTTTCACAATCACAATTTGTTTTTGAGGACTGAAACGTCAGTGCGTCACGCGTTTAATAAAATTTGGAATTATAAATCCATTTGAACAAACTTCAAACCTAAAGTGTTATATAGGTACTACAGTTCAATGTAGGTACATATTGTACTTGCGTCTCATTACTGCAGTACTCGTCGTTTCTATGACCCTTGGGCACATCTTAAACGCTGTTGACCTTAGATCGGACCTGTGATCCTATCTATTGATTGTACTATTACTAAAACTCCAGTAAGTACTTGTTTCAAATTATATTTTACTTGTTGTGTGCTATAAATCAACATTCTTAATATTTGTATTTGTTGTAAATTAATTATGTAGTTCTTGTTATTGYTCGAATTATACTTATTTTAATGTTTCTCGACCTAAATTTTGTAAATAAACAAGTTGGCCGCCAATCGAAATTGACACTCTAGTCGTGGCATTAGGTGCACTTTACACCGATTGCTGCTTACCACACATCACATAGATTAAAAAAGGAATAATGTACATGTTGGCATTGGTTTATGTCATTAGAATTTTTTTAGTTGTCTGAAAAGGGGTATTATATATTTTATACATTGCCACAGCTTAGATACATAATATTAATAATATTAAATTAATATTGAAGCTATTGAATTTGATGAACAATATATACATTGACGTAAGACTGAATGGCACATCAAGATTAAATTATGTTTTCTTTTTAATACATCAGTTTCAGTCTATCCTATATTCTGAAAAAAAACTATTTATAATTATATTTAAGTAATAATAATAATTCTAATTCATAAAGTTAATTAGTTAATTAAGCTTCCCTAGTAATCTATGCTCTTAATATTTAATTTGGGGTTACGGTGATGCTAGAAATATAAATAATTACCATGTAGATATGAATACAATTTATTATACTTCCAAAGTTAAATTAAAAAAATGTTTGGAGATACAAAAACTGCCTCTGAAACTATCCTAGATATAATACTTTTCTATTTGGTATTTCGGCTAATTCATTTAGATGCAAATCTTTAAATTGTATTGTGAAACATTCCTATGAAAACCCCTCATTCAAATTAATTTAAATATGTTGCTATGTMTTGTAGTATTTTAACAAATTGACTTAAATCAAATTGTACCCTATTTAAACTGTTGACTTTACCTAAGTCTGTATTTTATTATTAAATAAATAATTGTGTCAACCTTAGAATTGAATGTCTGTWCTAAAATAATTTATAATTCTTAACTACCTATAGTATTTGGTTACATTTAACAATGTTAAATTGGGTGGTCCCAATCAAATGATCAGAACCAAACTTTTACACTCAGTATACTGGGTTAAATGGTAAAATTATATATACATGTCTGAGCCATTATGACTTACTATTTAATGATATTTTAATCACTTAGAATATGATCTTTACTATCTTATGAGAGAACTGGCTTTTTCTGTGCATATATTTTTTGTTGTTTCCCTTTTTACATGGCTAGACATTTTATAGTTTCAGCAGCAAACAATTTTGTTTGGTGCATGTCCCGTTCTTTTATGAAATAGAGTATATTTGGCAGTATCATTATCTGGATATTTTATATTATATTCTAATCGTCTGCTGATATTGTATCCAACGATTTGTGTCATAGATTTTATAATAAAATTAAATAGAAATCAATTTTTTATGTTTGTTACATATTTTATTTTTTATGCTTTGCTAAGTTTTTATTTGGTATTAAAATTATTATTGAAAAAATAAAAAATAAAAGTTGTTCTTATAGATTACCAATGGCTAGCCGTCAGTCTGTTAGTTCAATATTGAAGCCACCCAAAGTAAGAGCTCCTCTAAAAGAAATTGAATCGGTTGATCAAGATGCTGATGAAAATACTGCAACATTGGCAAAAAGAAAAGTGAGTTTTTCAGGGATGAATAAAATAAAAATGTACAACACAGGTGCTACATCTTTAACTGTACACCAAGCTCCTATGTTTGATGAGCAAATTTCAATATTATCTGATTCTTCCAATGCAGAAAAACCTAAATCATCAGGAAAGTTTGAGAAATCTGATCCTCAAATTAGTAATGAATCAACTAATTGTACCAACTTAGAAGACAATGGTCGTATTATTATTGAATATGAAAGTCCAAATGATAATATGGAAATGACAGAAGCACTATCTGGTAAAATATTGTCAGATACAATTTATACTATTGATAATAATGGTTCTGAGCATATTAGTTACAGTTCAGATTATTCAGAGAATAATATGGAATTCACAGAAGCACTAAAAGTAGGAAAAATTTTAACTGGAGATAATTGTTATGATTCTTTAAGTTCTTCTGAAATGTCTGAAACATTGGTTGATGAAAGTGTTGATGAACCCGTTATTCAATTTGGGCTTAAACCTTCAACACCATTATCTGATGTAGTTATAAAAAATCCTTTGAATATAAGTTCGAGTTCTAGTTGTATGGAATTCACCTGTGCTAATACTAAATCCAACCTATTATACAATACTCAATCAAGTAATATGGAATTAACTGAAGAAATTATGCTTGAATCTTCAAAATCTATTTGGTCAAATGATGATTATAAATCAATGAGTATGGAGTTGACTCAATTACCTGATAGACAGACATTTGAAGATAATTGTGAATTGGTTTATGAACATAGTCAACATTCTGTAAGTATGGGATCAGATATATCTTGTGAAATTCAAGAAAACCAAAACTATGAATTAGAAATTGTACAAGCTGAAGAAGTAGAAAAAAATAATCTTAATTCTCAAACCACTGGTTGTGTATTGAACAAATCTGATAGTGAAGAAGATCTTATTGAAGAATTATCATCGAGTATGGTTTCAATGGATATTGATCCAACATTAGAAGGTAATGAACTTGATATTAGTTATGTAAATGTTGATAACCCGCTAACAGTTGTAAAAGAACAAAGTCATTCAAATATAYCTACGACAGCAGGAATAGAAGATAGTGATAACTCTGAAAAAAGTGTGTTGGAGAATTACTCAAATGTTATTGATATTAGTAATCAAAATAGCGAATCTAGACTATCTATATTTCCTACAAGTTCATCATTTGTTGTAAATATGTCTCCAGAAAATAACCCAAACAAATATGTTGAAGTTGAAGAACTTCTACAACAAACATTACAATGCCATACATCTGTGTTAGATCAAAATCAATATCTTGAAAATAAATCAATAGTTGTTGAGAAACATCCWCCAAAAAAATATTCAAGGAAAACAATGGTTCACTCATGCGCATTAATTGATCAAGACAAGTCCTTTGAGAATGGAGATACACCTAGAACAGTCAATAGTAATCAACAAAAATATTATTCTAGAAAATCAATTGCTCCTACAACTATTTTTTATGATGATAAATTGGATACATGTGTTTCACTTGAAGAAAACCAACAAGAAAAATATTCTGAAAAATCAATATCGCCCATGTCTCTTTCTTACCAAACTCAGCCTCTTGAAATTGAAAATTTATCAGATACATCTGGAATAGTCGAAAATAATAAAAAAATCCTATATTCTAGAAAATCAGTTGCTCCTATATCTGTTTTAAATGAGGACGTAATGGATGAATCTGAAATACTTGTAAAAAACCAGCAGCAAAAGTGTTCTTTACAATCAATTGCCATGCCTGTTATTAATCAAACTCAGTCTCTCGAAACTGAAAACTTATCGGATACATCTGGAATAGTCAAAGAAAATCAACTAAACAAATATTCTAGAAAATCAGTTGTTCCTACTTGTGTTTTTAATGAGGACATATTGGATACATCTGAAAAAAATGAAGAAAACCAGCAGGAAAAGTGTTCTTCTTTAGTATCAATTTCCATGTCTGTGCTTAACCAAACTCAATCTCTCAAGATTGAAGATGTGCCAAATATATCTGTATATGATCCAACTAAATGGGCTGAAAAATCTGACACATCTGAGTGTAGTTCAACGCAGTCTGCTGAAAAATGTGAAACATCTTTATATAATTCAACTCAGTCTGCTGAAAAAAATGAAACATCTTTATGTAATTCAACTCAGTCTGCTGAAAAAKATGAAATATCTATGTATAATACAACTCAATCTGCTGAAAAAGAAGAAACATCTTTATATGATACAACTCAGTCTGCTGAAATGGAAGATTCATCAAGCATTGTTGAAGAATATAAGTTAAAAAGATATTCTAGAAAATCTATTGGTCCAACTTCTTTAATATTTACTCACAKTGAATCTCTAGATAGCAGTGTCTTAAATAATTCATCGGAAAATGCAGAAAGTACTGAACCAAAAACTGAAAAGGGAACGAGTCCTGTAATTCCAATATCTGTTAATAATCTGTCTATACTACAATYAGATTTATCTAGCAATGATGAAGAAAAACTAATTCCATCAAACAAACACCAATCTGTATTGCTTAATATGATTAGTGATGATAATTTTAATTCACCTTTTAGGAAAAAACAAAAAAAATCTATAGTACCAACACATATAACAAAATCACCTATTGAAGGTCCATGTATTACTAGTGAATTGGAAAGCACTGATGACAATCTTTCAGAGAATATTGATAACATTATTGAAATGGATGTATCAATGGATATATCCATTGAACATGAATTTAAAAACAATAAAGAATTTTTAGCTGTTTCAAAAGAAGGTGAAGAACTGTATACAAATATTGGAAATGATAATATGATTGAAACAAATAGAGAAAATATTGTCATTACACCTAATGAATTGAAAATATACAAAACAAATTTAAATGAATTAGTTGAAGATRATGAAATTTTCAAAAAAAATGAAGACAACAAAATAAATGACTCTATAAAAGTATCTGATAATAATATAATGGTTAATCATATTTTAAACCCAGACTATCATTCACCTAGTTTTAGTGTAGATAAAACCATAAAATCAATCGGTATTAAAGATATATCTAATATTTCAGTGGATGAAACATTTCAAAATAATGAAAAATTGTGTCTAGTAAATCGAAAGAGAAGTTACAGTAATAGAGATTGTGCACCTTTATCTTGTTCATCATTTATGTCAAAACCTACTATGCAAAATAGTATGGAAGAAGATTTAGACACTGAAGATTTTATACAACAAAGTCCTATTAAAAATAATATTTCTGACAAGAGCTTAACTAATGATCAATTAGAAATAGGTGATGGACTTCAAGAAGGTTTTATTAAAAAAGAATCCATAGAAGAAAGTTTGTGTAATGAAGGTTTAGAATTTTTAACAAGATGGAATGAGCAATTCATTGAAAAAATATTAACTCTTGATAAGTGCACAAACAGAGAATGGATTTTTAATTTATTAGACAGTAATATAATTTTTACAGTAACATATTCACATATTTCTAATAATGATTCATTTCTGAAAGTGGAGGATATATCATTTACTGCAAAGACCAGTACCAAAAATGAAATAATAAAATTTGGAATAAATTGGATCTTATCAAAATACAACCCAAAGGTGTATAAGCAAATATGTTTTACTTCCAGAGATGTAGAACTATTATTAAAATCTCTGTTAGAAGATATAGACTTTATTAGTAAAGTAATGAAAAATATGGCTTATGTAAGCGATTTACATTGTGTAACATTTAAAGATAATAAAGCTGAATTTGTAATACATAACATGAATTGCCTATTGATGGTTCGTATTGAGGTGGCATTATCTAATATTCATAAGCTTTCTGTTAAAGATCTGTCAGTCGATTGTTTATTTGGTCACTTTGATACAAAATTATTGGAAGAAATAATGGAAAATATAACAAAAGATTGTTATGTTTTACAATCTTTAGTAGAACAATTATWTAAACTCTATTATCAAAAAATAAACTAATCGGTACAAACATTTTAGAATAATTAAGTATAATTTAATGTATTAAAATAAAAATAACTAGCATTTTATCACCTTGTGTGTTAATGATTTAATATGTTTTTAATTTGTAAGTATGTATGTCTACATCTATATTAAATTGTATTTATATTTTTATGTTCAGTAACACATGCATGTCTTATTAAGACTGCAATTAATATTATACATATTAAGTATGTTTACTGATATCGCGAAAACATCAAAAATAAAATGTTACCACATTAGTGAATTTTAAAACCTTTTTATGACTTGTATTTATTTGTTTGTGTTCATCTTTTAAACTGACAAAATAAGTATTCTAAAATGTTAAAACTTGTTTAATACTCTTCTTAAAACATTTATACATATATTTTAAGAATTTGTAAATTGTTTCGGTGATTTATTTTAAGTCAATTAAAAATTATATTTACTTAATTAATTGTTTTTCATAATACTATACTTTGCTCATTTTTTAATTTCAATTTATTTTATACCATATCATGAACAATTTTTTTTAAATGTAATATTTAACAAATATGAACTGTTCCCACCATTATAGTATTTTATCTTCAACTAATTTTAAAGCATTGAAAATAAAATGAACTATTATTAAAATTATTTTTAAAGATTTACATTAAATTGTATACAACTTTAAGCTTATTTATCTTAAGTGATTAAATTTAATGTACTTACCATAAAACAATAAATTTAAAACAAAACAATGGTATTTTAATCTATATTTATCGTTGATTTACTTGTATGTTATTATTATTTATTAAAATTTAGATGGAATGATTACATGATTGTATTCTAATTTACTAAAATTATTTACTTATTTTGATGACTTAATTATTATATTAAGTATAATATTGTTTTATGTCATTAATATTAATAAAATACTCACCTATTGTTATATTTTGCATTTCTATTMATTATTAGTAGTTACCCATTACTTTCAGTTTATTGTTTATAAAATATAAGTTCTTAATATAGTTTTTAATACTGAACGCGTTTGATATTATTTGTGGTATTAAGAAAAAAAGAAATACTACTCAACAGTTTATTTACATCGCATGTACAAAAAAAATATACGATAYAATACACAAAATCGGAACTGTTTCATTATAATTATAAGTATTTAATTTTAAATTCTCTAAGTAATTGAAAAAACAAAACAAAATAGTACACGTAACAAACTTTGTTTTTTAAGTTTGCACCATCAATTTATATGATTTATAACATAATTGATGTATAATCTCTTAAAGGRATTTTTAGAAATCATACATTTAATATACACATATATATTCATAGGTATATATATTATATGTMGATATAATTTAGAATAATAGTATGCTAGGTATTACGAGTAAAATAAAACTATTTGTGCTGATTTTGTTCAACTAATAAACATAGCATAAAAATCGAAAAAGTAACGATCGTAAGTAGTATAAACATAATGTAATGGATACAATAGTTAATACTTAATACTTAATAGGATACAATTATTATTATATAAATATAAATAAAATATTGTAATAGGTGGGTATTAATATAATATATATATATATACCTACTATTGGATTATTCACTTGAAAATAAAATTACTAAATCGTTAAATAATATTTATTTCGTAAGATAATTGGCAGCGATATTATTTTCCTTAGTTTGTGTAAAAGTATAATACTTAAAGATTTTTTAAAAAATATTTTTATTTTATGGATCTTAAACTGGATTTATTTTAGTGGTGACTAAGAAGATAATACTAATACAATTTATTTAATAAATTTTTCTTGTTTTATTCAATCTGAATTTACTTCTGTAGTGCGGGAACGTGAACATTGAGTAGTCCGTCATTTAGTGTCTATACAACTACTATATATAATAGTAAGTTGATAAAAATTAAAACTTTTTAATGGACGTGAAACATTACATTGTTTCTAACCCTTTTCAAATTAAACAAAAATTACTAAATCGATTGTAATGCCTTCTATGTATAATATWTAGAAAAAAAATGCATTAACTTAATTTGGCCTAAGCGCATTAAGGCACATTTAACTTGGGTTTTAAAATATACTTTTTACACAGCAAATAAATGAAATTTAAATGCATTAATAAATTATAATAATAACAAATTGAAATGTAAAAGTTAAAGATAACTCAAGGCACTTCTAAATAAGTTTTTAAAAAAAGTTAATGAAAATGTAAACGATAACTGGGTTATAAATTAAGTATATAATATTATATAGGTATATCATATATAACGTAATGTCATAACATAACTATATAAWATAAATATTTGATTTCAATATTTTATTATTTATTATTTTTTTTTATGAAAACGTGAAATATATTAAAGCTTATAGTTTCTAACGTAAGTATGTTACTCAAAATTTAACACTTAACGTTCATTGAATATATTTAAAATTATTAATTATAATAAACTATATTAATACAATAGCAATATATATATATATATTTATATATATATATATATATAATATTTAAGTTATAATTACGGATTTGGTCCTGATTCAAAATGTCCCCTTTTGTTTTCGTGAACCCTTATAAAAACTTGCGAATATTGTAAAATCACTTATTGGATTGCCAGCGAGTCATTGAGATTTATTAGAAAATAATATCATCTATTTATTCTCAAACCTATTAAACACTATGATATGTATTTCGTTGAAATTTTAAATACAGTGATTAAATTTCATTTGAACTTCATTAAATTATAGTCGATGCAAGTATCTCATTAATCAACGTGGTGTATACTATGCAATTTCTGTGAGCTATTTTTTTTCTTATTTAATTACAACGGAACGCTATAGACGAATCGAAAAAATATAAATAAATAAATGGGTAACGAAAAAAAGGATAAACTATAATTTTAATTTCGCTTGAAACTTATAATCTAGAACAATATTATCTAAAAATAAAATGTACTTTAACCATGGGGATTTGGTGCACGTCCCTTAAACTTTGTATTCGTTGTAATGTATATAAAATGTTTGCAATTTATTTATTCATTCAAGAGTTATCGCTTGGACACCATATTATATATTAAATTGTAGTCAAATTATATTTTATTTCAAATTGTTAATTCTTAAAACATTAAGAAGCTCTACCGAATATATTATTATATATTTTATGGATGATTATTTAATTATTAATTTATAATTATATTTATATTATTTAATATTGTTATAAAGATTTTATTGGTTATTTAGAATCAATTTTCGTAGAAAAATATAATAATGTACGTTACGCGCAATTATTCTAAAGCGATAAAATACCTACCTATAAAGACATTTAATAATACAATTACATTTTAATATTTAATTTTATAAATTTATAAATTTTAACAATATTTAAAAAAAAAATCAAAACCAAAATAAAAGCCTTTTCGGCGTATACAATTCTACATATCTCGTTGAACGTGACCTATGCGTAATTTTAAAATCCACTTGTATATTCTGAGCAATTCTTACTAATTTCTAGTAGAAATAACAAAGTATTTTTTTGTGTTTAACATTAATTAATTCTACTTAAGTATTTTAACAATAATAATATATTATTATAATTTTAATATTATTATATTAACTTCAACGTGAGTTGTACGTAGTCGATTTTGAATCGTTTTGTTCAGTCGTTCCGCTGATTTCAAAATGAACGCTGACATATTTTTGTTCCTAGAAATAAACAAAAACAGTATTAAATTATTATTTTTCGTACCTTGGGTGGTCGGTTGAATAACAACATCAATCATAATTACTGAAATAGCGGAAGTAAGTCGTACAGCGTGTAACAAGAAGACCTGACAAATGAAATAACTTTTGTTCTAATTAATATTACATTTTTTTTTAATGATTTACAATAGTTTGTGCTACATGTACAGGTTTACAATATTATTAATACTGGAAACAAATTAAAATCTGGTCTAATTTTTTTTGAAAAATTAAAAATATTGTAAATCTGATTTTTAGAAAAAAAAAA